TTTTAAGTTAGAGTTGACCAGCATCATGGTTCAAGATAAGCAAAATGACACAAGTTATTTTCAATAAAAAGCATCTTTAGCTAACTTGGATGCAAGATTTTTGAGGCTGAATTTACCTTAGTATCAAGTAATACAGAAAAAAACCAACACATTTTACAGGAATAATAATTGTATAGGACTAAAAGTAGCAGATTATCATAAATATTGTATATAAATCAAAGCATTTATAAGAACTGGTTATAACATAAACTACGGTACATGCTAAAGATCACAAGGCACAGTAATAATAACAGATGTTCACAGAGCAGAAGACAAAATAAAAACATTAAAGTCATGAACTAGGGCAGCACCTATAGCTCAATGGGTAGGGTGCCGGCCATATACACGGAGGCTGGCAGGTTCAAACCCAGCCCAGGCCTAAGTTAACAATTGACAAATGCAACAAAAAATAGCCAGGAATTGTGGTGGGCACCTGTAGTCCCAGCTACTTGGGAGGCTAAGGCAAGAGAATTGCTTATGCCCAAGAGTTGGAGGTTTCTATGAGCTGTGATGCCACAGCACTCTACCGGGGGCGACATAGTAACACTCTGTCTCGAAAAATAAAAACAAAAAAAATTTAAAAAGAAATGAGGTATTGCTGTCACCCAGCATGGAGTAGAGTGGGGCAATCATAGCCCACTGAAGCCTCAAATTCCTAGGCTCAAGCAATCCTCCTACTTCAGCCTCCTGAGTAACTGGAACTACAAGCACAAGCATCATGCACAGCCAACTATATAAATGAATGGCAACGATGCCATCTAAAATATGAAGTCTGTGCAAACTAGAGCCTAATTATTTAGCATTTATATAAGCATGGAGGGATTTAAAAGGATTTTAGTTGAAAAAAATTAAATCTTTAGTACACTCCCAAAATAACATTAAGAGTCAGGTAAGGAAAATAAATCTCTTGGTTAGATGTAATTAAGTACCAGAATTCTGGCTCGGCGCCTATAGCTCACCCTGCTAAGGCGCCAGCCACGTACACCTAAGCTGGCGGGTTCGAATCCCCAGCCCAGACCCGCCAAACAACAATGACGGCTGCAACCAAAAAATAGCCGGGAGTTGTGGCAGGCGCCTGTGGTCCCAGCTACTTGGGAGGCGGAGGCAGGAGACTCGCTAGAGCCCAGGAGTTGGAGGTTGCTGTGAGCTGTAATGCCA